CAATGCCGCCCGTTACGGTACTTATAAGACGGTAAGAACTCGTAACTGTAGATTATATGATTACACGATCTGTTCGCCATAGATTATAAAAAGGTTTTTAAAGACTCGGTGAGCGTGATTCGCTCCGGCTGTGACCGTACGCGCGGCTGCATACTGTTAGCAGATTAAATAAGGTCGCGGCGTCCATATTTACTTCGATCGGTATTGATATTCGTGCTGGACACGTAACTATAGAGCGGCCCCTCGGGGTCAGCAATGAGGCGAGATCGGCGATAAAGTGGCAGTGCGTTGAATGCGCTAATTGATACACTCCGCAATGATTAACTGTGACGCGCGGCATTGCTACTGATTTGTTTCATACGACTTTATGGGGGGCACGAAAGGCTCCATAACTCACTTAACAGTGAACGTTATACTTTACGTGTTTTTTTTTAATTTTCCTAACAAAAGCTAAGGTTACGCAAATGAGTAAGGAATAATTAATGTTTCCTACAACAATAGCGATTAATATGTATGTTAGTTTTGTGTTATAGTCTTTGTATCTTCCAATCTTATTAGGCTTTGTATCTTTCGATATTGTTTCCAAGGCTTGGCTTCCTTTTGTAGCTTAGATTTACTCACATATAGGTACGATTTTTTCAATTTACTCTAAGTACGTGCCACGCAAAATTCTTCTCTGTTCCACGAATGGGCTGGTCCGCCCGCGTGAATACCACGACTTCAAACCACAATATTATAAGGTCGCAACGTATCTGCAACCCTACGGGTGTTGCAAATGTCTATGGGCGGTGGTTGTCTTTTAACATCACGTGAACCGCGAGCTCCCTTGCCACCTACTCACATAAAAAATTATAGATAGATTTAATATGATAAATAATTGTGTAGCGCCTATAACTATCCTAACACATAATTAAATGGAAACGAAAAGATTTTTTATTTACTTGTTTTGTTTAATTGGTTATTATATACTTTTTACTTCAATCAATGTAGAAAAGGCAACGCCAAGCGAAGCGGATCATGGAAGAAATTTCCATTCCAATATGTGATTTGCCGCGCATTTCATTGCGCGACCTTGCGATAACAATGCGCTTGCGTTACGTGGTCCGGCCGCGCTTTGTTCTTTTGTTATGTCCGCCAGCTATCGGCATGCCCAATTACTTTTTCCCGAGAGGGCTCGTGAATCATCCGCGCAGAATGTTACCTCCTTTGCCCGTGTGTCAACGTTTGCGCCGGCGGTTACGAAACTTGACTCGGAACTTTGTTGATATTTGTCTACACGATTATTTACGCGTGCAAACTTTGTGTTTAATGTCTACTGAAAACTGTACTCGTGGGTTAACTGGAAACTCTATTTTGAGCAAATGCTATTTTTTTGTATGTAAATGAAAAGGATCTTTAGATTATACCCGAGAGGAGTGAATAAGAGAGAGAAACAATATGTGGCTTCTTACCCCTCACTCAAACCCTCTCGGTCGCCACTTTTGACATCGGGATGATTATCTACGGAAAGCGACAGTGAAACGATACAGTGATATAAGCTTAACGCTCTATTTTCATGTGGATTTTATCAAAATAATATATTTAAATTATCCATGATGAGAAGAAGAAGAAAAATTAATACATTCATTTTTAAATCCCGCATAAAGACCATGTCCATTAAAAGTTTCATTCAATGAACGGATTGATGAATGCAGCGTAACGAGGGAAACGCAAAAACTTTGTGATAACAGTTCAATTTTAACTAAACGTCACGTAACGAGCATTACGAAAATTATTTGGTGATACGGTTTGCATGTATGTAATAAACAATACATCGTTACGCACCATGACAATATTTGTTTGAGGTATCTTTTTAGTGCACTTACGTACGGAATCCGTCTGCGCGCTGCCGTGGCACGCGGAACGAAACAATTTGGGTCGCGTCTCGGTTCCGATAATGCATGCACATTGTATATCCAATGTACACGACTCTGCCGAGTCACTTAGCCGATAGTTCCTTCCGCTCGTGAGTTATCGCCGGTTGGCATACCATCGGCCGATAGCGGGCAAGCTCCGTTTTTTCTGGACGTCCGCGCGCCTTCACTGTCGTACTCGGAATCGGTGGCGTTGCGCAACGCAACTTCGAGGAATTCGTGGGAATGCTGAATGCTACCATGCTGACGAGACTCGGCTGGCTGGTGGGATTGTGTCAATGGTAGTAGAAAGGACCGAGGAAGTGAAGCGATGCAGACGAACAGATGCGAATAGAAGACGAGATAGCTCGTGTCTACACTAATTATCTATAGCATGTGAGCGATATTAAAACTCTTTGGTATGAAAACAAATTACTTTGTTTTCCGTCTTAAGGCAACACTACATTAACGTGTAAGTGATTTTTTTTTTACATAGCTGTGGAAAACCTTTTTAATGACATAATTTTTTTTTCCAATTTTATTATTTATTAAGATTAAGATGACCTTTTTGACGTTCACGTTAAAATTTATATTCAAGCTGTATGAATGGTGTTATTGCGATACAGTGTAACAAATATGGAATGTAAAAACTCATAGATATTGGACATAATATGCTATTATGATTAATAGTTTTGATTTAATATCGCAATTATTTTCTTTTCCTGAAATTTTCTTTACCTATCTTTATCTATTTTTTTTCTTGTTACCTTTCCGATTTGACTTCTGTACATTTTTTCATAACAACAAACTTCAATCATTATACCATATTAATTAAATGTGACAACTGATTCTTATTAAGTGACATAGTTTCGTCGTCAAACGTAACGCCTATTGAGAGCCATGCGGCGTTGATTGAAGTGTACTTTCCTCTGTCGATTCGCTATCACCGAGAGCGTTAAACAAAATCGATGGTATTGACGAAAAGTGGGTCGCTGGTTCGAAGCCGAACGTCTGACCAATCACTTGTCTCATTATTCATCGTGTCAACGTTAAAAGCTCAATTAATGCGACGTCGGACAGATGACTACGTTAAGAGTACTCGACGCAGAAAATTGTGTTAATTGAAAATATCGTGGATGATTGCGGCGATCGGCGTCCATTATTCTTTAGTGTGTTCTCATTCTTTAACGGGTTTCCTATTGTCTTAATATGCGTTACATTTTCTTTTCATGGTTCAGCATCTCCATGGTATAATGTCGATTCTTACGAAATTACCGTTTTCATGATAGGTATAGAAAGTAATAAGGTTTAACTTTAGTTTAATGCTTTGTAAATAAACGTGTTATAGATTACTTTAGCTAAGAGAGAGTTTCAACTTTAAAAAAAACATATTGCTGAAAACGGCAATATTCGAATTAATTAAAGTTTATCTATTTTGCTTAAATAATGGGTGATTAATAATCAAACGTTAAATTCGATAAATAAGTATAGAAAAGTATATCTTGGATAGTAAATATGAAATGCGATTAAATAAAATGGGTGTAAAATGAATGTAAAATGAATGTAAAATTATGGCTCAATCTTTCTCCAGTATTTGATTTTGTTAAGGCCAGTTGTGTATACAATATACCTATACCTAATATATAAATATACTATATTACAAAGAACCTGTAAACTGTTTCAATCAAGCCGGCACTGATCTGAGCTCGGTACCAAGTGCCATGATATTTGGACCTCGGTCCGGATGCATTTTTTAAAAACTGGTACTCCAGCCTGGTCTGGTCTGGTCGGCGGGTACGCGTCTATGAGAAAGTCGTTGTATCGTGTGTGGGTGTAATTCATGCGCGTTTTTGAAAGCGTTTACATGGTATCGGATGTTAAGCATCAACAAAGTAAGCAAGTAACAATGCATCGTACGGAGCGGGCGTGAATTGGACCAGCTTAGAGTTATTGATATCCGTCGATACAATTCAAACTCAATGGTCCCACATTATCCCATTGTGTTCCCATTTTGAGTTCGATGACTTTGTTTATCTCGCCCGTAACTAGTTTAACGATCTCCAGTACTGGATTTGGGTGCAAGTTTTTTTGTCTAGTGCAGAGAAATATCGCAAGAGGAGGTCAAAGGGCTGCGGAATGATTATTTCTTTCTTGCTTTATTAAAGGTCGACATAGACCGTGACCATCAATTAAGTCAGGAAAATCAAAACATTATTTGCGTTAAACTGATGCGTTAAACAGATAAGCGAGTCAACTATTCAGTTGTTAATCGGCTTTCAAATTTCATTTTAGTTGCCAAAAGGATGGTTAAACTCTTTGGATTGATCGTTCTGATCATAAGAAGATCATTCTGGTCAAATCAGACAGTTTAACGGAGAGTTTGACAGCTGATTAGTTGACATCTACGATGATCAGTGTTTCAGAAACCGGGCGTGAGCGTTTCAATTGTTCTACTATAGTATTCGGACGTAAACGGGTATGTATATTGTCGGTAAATTACATTTACAGTTTAATATATGGCCCGGTTCTTTTAACAATCACGACCTTTTCGCGCTGCACTCGTTAAGTCGATCGAGTTTGCCGTTCGACGTTACAAAGACACAATCAAGAAACCTGCTCTCGTGATCTGGGAGCATTGCGCAGCGGTTCCTGCTGATGCAAGAATGAGCCAGATTGAAATAGTCACCAATATTTCACGGAGACCGGTGTGGAGTGCTAGTTTATCCTCTTCTAGTAGACGATGAACCGATTTAACAAAGGTCACGGATTTTAAAAATCCATCTATAACCCCGCTGGCATTATGGGTCTCTTAGGCGATTCCCTTTCAAAAACCGGCTAAGTTCGAGTTAGGCTCGCGCACTAAGGGTTCCGTACCATTATCTATAAAGACTGCAAATTATCATGTCTTTTGTATTTTTTATTCTGTCAAATATTTGTTGTTACAGCGGCATAAGAAATACATCATCTGTAAAATTTTCAACTGTCTAACTATCACGGTTCATGAGATACAGCCTAGTGACAGACACAAACAGACAGACAGCGGAGTCTTAGTAATACGGACCCGTTTCACCCTTTGGGTGTGGAACCCTAAAAATGATAATCGCTTCACGGCTCCCCGACTGTAACGGCCGTAAAATGAGGAAATAAAACTCGAGCATCGGTAAAGTCGTCACTTTCGCTTTTAAGATCGTCGCACCAGAGCGACTCCCACGCGAGCAGCGGCTCCGAACGAATCGCTAGACAACCCGGCACTGACCACGGATAATGAGAAGGCGGTAGACCACCTCGATTTCGTTGGGGCGTCATAATTTTTGATATTGGTTTCTTTCCCCGTAATGATCTATCGCTGGCGTTTTGTTTAACAGTTTTCTGGTTTCTTATAATACTAGGAGATAGAAGGCAAGCGAGCTGGCGGTTCAACTGATGTTCAGTGATAACCGCCGACATTTGCAATACCAATAGTGTTTTCACTTCACGCCGGTCTTCTGTGAGATCGTGGTACTTAGCCGGACGGACATGCACATTCGTGCAACAAGGCTGTTGGCTGGCCATAATATTCGAAATGGTTTCTATCTCGTTTATAGCCGAGGTCTATCTTCCATACATGTATTTTTGTCCCAATACCTATTAAAGAGGATGCCTTTTCTTAGCAGCCGAACAGTTTTTATTTTACATATTTCGATTGGTTTGGAAGACGAAAATATTAACACTTCTTCCTAGAAATCTAACCGAGTTTCATCGAATTGAATTGCAGATGTATTGGTTGACAACCATTAAAAAGTGGGCCCAGGCTACCTCACTCACCAGATGAAACGCAGAAGTATAACACTTCCATTTCACGCTGGCGAGGTGAGGTCGTCGTAATTACAACAACCATTGCCAGGCCCTACCACAATTTAGAAATAAAGAAAGAAAGAATACTAAAAACCTATAATTAAAATGAACCAAAATAGTCACCAAACCAAAATTAAATTGCGACCCCTATGGTTGTTATAGCTTGCCGCTTGCTTCTCAGTAAAAATATTATTAATTTTGTAGTAGTATTTACATAATACACAATCGGGGTGATATAATCGAATTCAGTTTATTCAAATAAATGTGCAATCCATTCAGACAGGTTTTATTACAGACGTGACGTAAAGCAAGCTCCTTGAACGATAACAACAACGGCTTTGTTCTAAGAAATTAGCGGAATTAATTTACTTAAAACTTGCCCGTTGCACGCCGTTCCTGGAAATTTGGTTTGAGCGTTGAAACGCTTTCTTAATACAATTAGTGCTGTTGTGTCGTTATTACGCGAATCGATGTTAGATAAATAACTTTTGTGTTTGTATTGTCGCTAAAGTTGGAGTTATTTGATTGGCGCAGTGGATAATGGACCTGTATTTTACGCCGTAGAGTGTGGGTTTGATCCCCACTACTGGAAAAATATTGTGTGAGTAACATAGTAGTTTTCTAGTGTCCGGATGTTTATATATTTATCTATATGTATTAATTTCCAAATAAAGTATGTGTAAGTATGTTTATCAGTTACAGTATCCATAGTATTAGCATCGCATGGTTTAGGAGTAGATAGACAGAAATATTTATAGAATAGAATGATTTATTTTATCTTTTGAATATACTCTTAAAAATATGAATATTTGTTGCATGTTCACGTATTTATGTTACGGTTGCGGATTGAGACGTGTTACCTAATTGTTGTTTAAAAGACTCCAGAGATATATCGTAAGAAATAACAAGCTGAAATAGCATGGGCCGGCCACAAAGCTCGTGGAGGACGGCTATCAAATCGGTGTCACCCCCCGCGGTTTATGGCTAGCCCACGGGTCCTGCGTTCGATGAAGCTTTAATAGTCTAAGGACTGACAGCGCTGACATCGGTTACAGGAAAATGAAAAATTAAACCGTTGAAGCAGGAAGAGCGGCAACCGGGCACAGGCATACGAAGTTTGGGACGACCACATACGATTTGGTATACTGACCTACACAAAGTTAAGGGAAGCCAATGGATGCAGGGGGCGCAGGAGCGAGCCTTAAAGACTAGAACGATGATGTAAAGCAAGGTTTAATCAGCCAATTTACCAGTATCACGATGTGCTTTAACTGACATATTTATGAACAATGACTGTTTATAACTACTTGTATCAATGTAGGTTATGCTGGTCTAGAATCTTGTGTCATCGTTATTCTTATTTTCGAAACAAATTCATTTAAATACTTTGGAGATTGGTTTAGTATGGTCATGTGTAGTTATTATAAATGAAACTAATTTTACGGATTTATCGCGTTTATTTTTAATTTTAATTCCCGACGTTTCGAACCCTTTACAGCGTTCATGGTCACGGGACAGACTGAGGTGTTAAATCCGTAAAATTAGTTTCATTTATAATGTGTAATCGCGTAAATACAAGAAATTATTATGTGTAGTTATTTCATTTTATTAGTTAAAATTTAATACATCTGAAAAAACAATTTTTGGGTTACTTATGAACGTCAGAATCATTCGTCGCAGTCGTTGAGAAATCCCGGATACCTAATGCCATTAATAATGAATAAAAATGGTATAATGGTTAACCTTCTTTTGTTGAAAACACTTATCGACTCTGAGCTCAAGGGTTCAGATTTCACAGACCTATAGTGCTATACGTTTCAATTATATTTAAAACAAAAAAAAACCCGTTTCCGACGAGATAATAGCTCCGCTGCATATTGATTTACAGTTTTTTTAGGCTTTTTTCTGCCCGTGACCCGTTTATAGACGCTCATTTTTGTTGTCGGCATATCTCCATTTGATTTTTATCGATGAAAGTTCGAGAATGATCGAGCCTTAATGACTTCATTTTTGTCGGCGTTCCAAGATTTACGAGATTTCGATGTTAAAATAAAAGAAAGATTTCGCCGTAAGTGGGCCGAATACGATCGCTACGGATAGCTTAAGATTTTATCGTAGGTAATGTAACTTACTGGTTTGCGGTTCGATTTAATGGATTTTTATAATTTTACAGTGATACATTTTTGAGTTTTTAATGGGATAAAAAATAACTACTTTCAAAACAAATAATATAATGTGTAATTTCTGCGTTCCATTGAGGCTTTAATAACGGACTGAAACATTAAAACTTGTAGAAATAGTACGAAAAGATTGTCGCCGCTGTGGGAATCGAACCCACGTCTTCGGCATTCGCGGCCTGACGCTCTAGCCACTAAGCTAAACGGCTGATTGCCACGCCAACGAAAATCTTAACGACTTTTTTGTACATTGTTTTTTAGTATTTGAAGCAATGCTTGGCACATCTATTGTTATATATCCTTTCCAGCATACAAACAATTTCGAATATCGATTTACAACGATATCTCGAACGAGAGATGTCGCCATTGCTCTATATAAATTTAAAGTTTTTTATAGTGCTAGTTTATAGTTTTTTCTACAAACTTTAATGTTTAATCTTAAGTACAGATATTAGCACTACAAAAACTTTAAATTTCTAACGAACTGAAAGCAAAAATATCAGATAAGATAAAATTAAAAATGCAAAATGTGTTCATGTTTTACGCTAAATGCATCATGCTTTCGCGTTTTCTCTTACAATGCCAACGGCCGTATAAGGCTTCGTTGGACACAGCCCGCAGAGACACAACAGTTTATCCGGGTTTGTCAAACGTTGGCTTCTAAACGTCGCCCTTGGCTTGTTTTTCGTTTGCGATTGCGCCTCTCGCCGACTCCATTGTGTCTGAGATTGCCTCAGAATCTGTTGCGAGTGGAACGTAAATCGGCTCTTGACTCCGGCAGGTCCGATGCCTGTTCTGGATGCCGAGAATTGGGCCCATTGCCCAACTTTACAGACAGCCGTCTGCGACGAACATTTTGGCATAACTTTGCAAATTTGTTGGTGCATTTAGTAACATAGTGACTTCGTCAGTACGGGTCCTTTCGTTTAATCATGTAAAATCGTCATGATCAAGAGCATATGTTTATGAATCATTAAGCATCCTCCATGTAAGAACTACCATGCAGGAGCATCCTTTAAAGGGCATACGAGTATCAAATGTAAATGGAAATTTCACATACATATCAGGATGTAAAACGAACTAAGAAAATAACCTTATTTTGCTATGGTTGTGATGTTTTAAAGGTTGCATCAGCTCGAGGCGGCTATTCGGTCCTTCGACTGTTGGAATGAGAACTCAGAATTGCGTCTGAGTCATTGCGCGCTCGACTAACTAAGTGCCCAGGTAGGCCGCCGTTGCACTGACATAATTGTGATCTACGCGGAACTTTGATCCACTTAGTGACCATTACCCGCCTCTGTGTTGTAAATTTGGACTAAAAGGACAATTCAAAGAATAAGAGTGAAGCTCCTTGCGGCTAAGGTGTTGCAATACACGGCAGTATGATCCAAATAAAAAGTAGAAAATATTTTGAATATATTTAGTCTGACAAACCGGCGTGATTTCGTGTGGCGGACTTCCCGTGATGTTCTATATAGAGGGGCTTATGCCTAGCAGGGGTACATCCATGTATAGGCTGTAAGTTGTCCCACTTTATAATAAAGGTAGGCAAAAGTGAAAAATCATCGCTTATTCATCATCTGAAATTATCCGCTGTAAATTAGATACGAAACAACATATGAACATAATATCCGTTATTTATAATTGTTTATCTGGCTGTTCTTCGTCCTGTGTCTGAATCGTGGCTGTGCAATTATTTCACAAACATAATGTTTCATGTCTGTGTTGTTTAGCAGTTAACTCTATTTACATATAAATTTACGTCACAATCCTTTATGCTCATGCGAGCACCGAGCCAACTACACCAATTGGAAACGTTCTATTTACGACTGCTTTCAGCTATATTTAAAAGAATATCTTCTTTGAAATACATGAAAAACTACAATTTACTTAGAAATTTCTTTGTTTTCTTAATTCATGGTACATATTTAATAATTATCCATTATAAACTTATGGTATGTCTATGTTCGTGTAATACGTGTAATAAGTGAAGAAATCCTATGAGTTTCTTCCTTTTGCTACAAATTCCTGGTTCCTCTACCTAACTTGATTGACCAAAATTTTGCAATTTCCTTCAAAAACGATCAGCACAGCTCTCGTCCAGCAAACCTCGTTATTCACGGCGAACCGACCGTTTCCATATATCATTCGTTCGTTTCGCAATATCGGTGTATTACAAAATGTAAATTGTTATCTCGCCGTGTACCCGATATTCACACTTGCGCCCATTTCTACTAGGCGCTTTATTCGCTTATCGGTATCCGCGGATCGGGGCGCCCTCAAAGGCGAGTCACTTGTACCTTCGAGATTTACAATACACGAGTCCGATATTCGGGCTTCCGTAAAGCACTCGATACAGCGCTCAATTACTAACCGCTTACGTAAGCGACAGATGTTTATCTTTTTTCGCATTAACCGACGGTACCTGCACGTTGT